AGTAAGTGATTAACAAAATGAATGATCGCCATTGAGGAGAGGATAAGCACCTTTAACCAGGAATACTGTACATTTGTCTCGCACTCTAAAGTAAATTAGGAAAAGGTCGAGATGTTTTCCTGTAGTATTTAATCCCAATTTGTTTCCAACCTTTGGTTTTTAATGTGACAGTTATGTTGTAGGTTAACGACGTAAGAATCCCGGTCCATGTATGTTAGTAAGTAGTTCATTCTGTTTTTAGAGTGGTGCTAATGTTTTTGTGTTATAAGATATATGAATCATTGTGTATCATTAGTTTCTCTACTCGATTTTCTTTTCCTGTTTTTATGGTAAAGGTTGTGCTCTAATGAGTCGGGCACCTGCGAAGTTCCAGCACCAATTACACGTTTCCTGTGCAGTCTGTTTCCAAATGCACATTACTCATTTGTGCTTACAGAGCATTAGAGAAGGAAGTTCTCTTTATGCGTTATTTTATACGGTTTCTATGGATATATTTTATCACAATTAGTAAATAATAGGAATTTTTAGAGTGAATAATGGAAATCAATTTTCTTAGAAAAAGTGCAACTACAGTTTCGTACAACTAGAGACAATTATTTTCTTTTACAAGACATGTTTTGATCCCTCAAAGTGTAATATTGATAGTATTATATTTCCAATATCTAAGAAAAACCAAGACGAAAATGACCAATAATTCAAAGAAATTGGACAGCGAAGATAAAAAGACAAACTTTTATGTAATGAAAAAAGTCATTAAAGACATAACAAGATGGCATTCTACTCCTAGAATAAGATAAGCAGACAGGTATTACAGAAGAGTTGTAACTCAAATAAACACCTTAATCAATGGAGGTTCTAACATATTCTCAGAGACCCAGATATTCGTAATGAAAAGAATACCATAAACCAAAGTGTTCACAGTATCAAGATTTGAACAGGTTGTTATTTACAAACCTCTCGAGGATTAAGTATCCGCACTAACAGTATGGGTGATACAGACACAAAATTAAATGTTCTATCATTAAAACCTGGAATAATATTTTTCTAAGATTCGTGTAAAAATGTGTGATATCGAGATGTATTTATACGATATGAAACCTGTGGTTTGATATTACTTGGTTTAAAGTAGAAAGTAGTATCTTAGTTTGTAATCGTAGGCAGAACAAGAAAATGTATAACATTAAGTGAGACGTTACAGGAAGAAAGTACATGTGACATTGTGTTTATTGAATTTGGAGGTAATTGCAGTATTCACATTTTAGTGATGATTTGCTAAAATGAAATAATCTAATTTAATAGTGTTAGTTAAACAATCAAACTTGAAATAATTATTTCTGATTTTTCAAAAACGCAACACCACAGGGATTTCATTTTTGAAAAAAAAAACTAATTCAAATTTAAAACAATCCGCACGTGAAATGACTTAAGCTTATTTTAAAAGTCTGTTAGGCAAAAGAACTTAAACTAATAACGCCAGCTCTGCCAAACCGAAGAATAGTTGAAAGCAACCTTAGTACGGGACCTTAGTTCGCAAAGAAGTGTGAAATAACAAATCCCTATCGTTAAATCTGGTCGCTTACATTGGTATTGTTAATCTAACATGTAAAGCATACGAATATCACGCAATCAAATAATAAGATTTTTATCAAATTAAATATGCAGATTTGAGAATATTTGTATTTTGATTAAAACAACTATAGCGTTACATGGTTTGTTATACTCTCACTCAACTTAACAAGGCATGAAATTACATATTGCCATATGGCGGCGCCCAGCCCTCCTAAAGGAATCGTGATAGCTGAAAACTTATGAATATTCATTAGGTTGTGGAGATCTGCGGATGGGCCGTAACGCATCACGCTCGAATGAAGACCATCAGAAACCTTGGTAAAGTCAACTGTTCAGCAAAGCTTAAGACGTAATTGTTTTCTTAGAAAATAGCGGTCTGGGTGTAATAAAGCAGACTTGTTCCCAGCTTAGGGATTATCATCATGTTACGGCAATATCAAATTAAACTTTCCCACTTCTTCCTTACAAACGTTTCTACCGTAAGGTGGGTCACCTCGGATCACAAAGCCATGTGGCGACCATTTTGACGTGTTGTACGTGACAGAAACAAAACACCTACATATAATTTTATATTCTGGGGATACAGTTGAAATTGAAGACAGTACACATTTCGTTGAAGAGGATGAGGTGCAAGAGAAAAGTCACCTAAATAAACATTTCAGTCTTCAAAAGAGTAACCTTATCCGTAGTGAAGTATTGAAAAAAATATAGTGAAATGAAAATATTAGGCTGAAGTGGGTCAATTCATTTCGATGAAAATGTTGAGTTGAAGATAAGTCACTAAGATGGATATTTCGGGTTTAATATGGGAAACATGCTTGAATGAAGGTGTATGATTGAAGATGGTAAACCGATTTAGCAAAGAGCCTGAATTCAAGATAGTAAACTCATTTAGCAAAAAGCTTGAATTGAAGGTAATAAACTCATTAAGCAAAACGCTTGAATTGAAGGTAGTAAACTCATTCAGCAAAACGCTTGAATTGAAGGTAATAAACTTATTTAGCAAAATGCTTGAATTGAAGGTAGTAAACTCATTTAAAAAAACTGAATTGAAGGTAGTAAACTCATTAAGCAAAAAGCTTGAGTTGAAGGTAGTAAACTCATATAGCAAAACGCTTGAATTGAAGTAGTAAGCTCATTTAGCAAAAGGCTTGAATTGAAGGCAGAAAACTCATTCAGCAAAACGCTTCAATTGAAGGTAGTAAACTCATTCAGTAAAACGCTTGAATTGAAGGTAGTAAACTCATTTAGCAAAAAGCTTGAAGTGAAGGTAGTAAGTAGTAAACTTAATTAGCAAAACTTTTGAATTGAAGATAGTAAAATTAATTAGATGAAACCTTGAATTGAAGAGAATGACTTTATTTATTTCGAAAAAAAAAAATGATTGAAGATAGTAAATCTATTCTGACTTAGGATCGAAGCGACTTAATTTATCTAGGTTATAGCTTTGGATTTCAGGAAGAAAACTTCTTTACTTTTACATGTTTTGAGAAGGAGAGAAAACTAATTGTGATTAAGATAATTAGTGTGAGAAATTATTTTTATTTCCGTTAAGGACTCGTTATACTTAGCCAAGTGATGGTGCCTGGTGATCAGCGGCGTTGTCAATAAACCATCTAAAGCTGTAGTAGAATATTTAATAAAGATTCAAGAATACTCCTAAAACAAAAGACACTACTAAGATCCCCATGGCAAACACAAATTACAGGACTTCAGTCGAATTGGACAATATAATAATTTATCTAGTCGTTGTAAACTTGGAAACCTCATGGTCGAAATCCTTCATTGATAACTTTGTCTAAGGAAAGAAAGCAAACATAATATCAACTTTAAACATACAAAATTTATAGCAGAATTATAAACGCTTTTCTGTTTCATATACGACACATGCATTGTATATCTGATGTTTGAAATTGTTAATTGGTAGTAATCATCGGGTATGTTAACCAGCATCGAAACAGCACCTCTTATTGGTGACAAATTTCAACCTGGTAAGCTGTACTGAAGACAGTCAATAAAAGTCCAGGTAAGCTGTACTGAAGACAGTCAATAAAAGTCCTGGTAAGTTGTACTGAAGACAGTCAATAAAAGTCCTGGTAAGTTGTACTGAAGACGGTCAATAAAAGTCCTGGTAACTTATACTGAAGACGGTCAATAAAAGTCCTGGTAAGCTGTACTGAAGAGAGTCAATAAATGTCCTGGTAAGCTATACTGAAGGCAATCAATAAAAGTCCTGGTAAGTTGTACTGAAGACAGTCAATAAAAGTCCTGGTAAGTTGTACTGAAGACAGTCAATAAAAGTCCTGGTAAGCTGTACTGAAGAGAGTCAATAAAAGTCCAGGTAACTTGTACTGAAGACGGTCAATAAAAGTCCTGGTAAGCTGTACTGAAGACAGTCAATAAAAGTCCTGGTAAGCTGTACTGAAAACAGTCAATAAAAGTCCTGGTAAGCTGTACTGAAGACAGTCAATAAAAGTTCTGGTAAGTTGTACTGAAGGCAGTCAATAAAAGTCCTGGTGAGCTGTACTGAAGGCAATCAATAAAAGTCCAGGTAAGCTGTACTGAAGACAGTCAATAAAAGTCCAGGTAAGTTGTACTGAAGGCAGTCAATAAAAGTCCTGGTAAGTTGTACTGAAGGCAATCAATAAAAGTCCAGGTAAGCTGTACTGAAGACAGTCAATAAAAGTCCTAGTAAGCTGTACTGAAGACAGTCAATAAAAGTCCTGGTAAGCTGTACTGAAGACAGACAATAAAAGTCCTGGTAAGCTGTACTGAAAACAGTCAATAAAAGTCCTGGTAAGTTGTACTGAAGGCAGTCAATAAAAGTCCTGGTAAGCTGTACTGAAGGCAATCAATAAAAGTCCTGGTAAGCTGTACTGAAGGCAGTCAATAAAAGTCCTGGTAAGTTGTACTGAAGACGGTCAATAAAAGTCCTGGTAAGCTGTACTGAAGAGAGTCAATAAAAGTCCAGGTAAGCTGTACTGAAGGCAGTCAATAAAAGTCCTGGTAAGCTGTACTGAAGACAGTCAATGACAGTCCTGGTAAAATGTGCCGAAGAATGTAAACGTGCATGTAAAAAGTACCAAGGACAGCCTATAAAGGACGCAGCAACAAGAATGATAAAATTGTTTTTTTTTTTTTTTTTTTATTGTTTATGGAAAATCCTTAAAAGACTTCCTGTTTTTGTCGTATTCTGATAGCGAAATAATCATTTTAATAACTTGACAAACTTTTACAAAAATAAGTGCCGCCATATTCTTATTTTCTCATTCGGGTTCTCGAATTCCCTGACAATATACATGTTTTATATTTCTGTACGTCGTTGCTGTACAAAGTGGAAATGTATTATTCCTGTCCTGCGCATTCAACAATCCAAACATTTATGATGTCAAAGACAACTATCGGGTACACTGTTGATTCATAAGAACCTGTCATCCGTCGACTTTGTCCAGTGAGTGCAGCGAGCCGGCAACTGTCTCTAGGTGTAAGTGCTTGGGATGACGACACACAGTCACGGGTACATGTGCGTGATGTAAAATATAGTCACTATGGCTACCCATCAGTGTTCTCCTCATCTTGCCGTGTCCTCTGGACCCACAAATAATGTGATCAACATGCTCTTCGTTCGCGTGTTTGATCACTACTTCACCGGCCTTGCCTAGCTGTGTTTTCACCATCCCTTTCAGCTGTAACATAGTCACATATCATAACTAACGGGTATACATCATCGCATTATCAAATACCATATACGTGAATAATGATATTTATCACTTAGTAATAGTAAATAGTAAATCTACCTAGTTTAATTTATGATGTCTATGATGTAGATATGTAACAAATCTACAATGACATGATTATATTTAAGTTTGGAGTACGTATATATGGCGTTAGAACATTACTTTTTAAAACATGTTTTGTGATAACAATATCAGTTATAATATACAATAAATATATACCATGACGGTAAAATTTTAATAATCAATATGTTGTGATGCAAAAAAATAAAAAAAATAAATAAATAAAATATAACAATAGAATAAATATCCCTGGTGATGAAGAAATGCTCTTGAATTTGTGATAAGTATCCCATTAAATAGGTACACATTCTGTCATAACATTCTGACAGTATGAAGACACAGGGTGATAATACTGCATTGTTGAAAACATATATACTTTTCATAACAATACTTTAAACAAGCGATCTTACATTGATATGAAACGTATAAAATATTTCTGGTGAGGTAAAATTAAAAAAAAATATTGATGAGTTACATAAACTTTACATGAAATAGAAACGAATGTAAAATATAGTCACACAAGTTAGATACTCTTGCAAAACATTCGTGAAAAATCGAAATTGGCGATATCCTGACTCTATGTATGTTTTTGTGACGTCACGATGTATATGATGACGTCGGTTAAACCTGTGCTAGGTCATGTTATACATTTAGTCGGAACAAAAGTATATGATGAAAAAGAAGGATACGGAACTATACCATATGAAGTTTTCCTTTTTTTCAATTGCATGTTAATTCTCGGGAACAAAGCAACCGTTAGTTTAAATATCACGACAAAATCGTTTTCTATAGAATATTATAAGATGTGCATGTTGTTTTCTTTCGGTTTTGAAACTTATAGAATAATCAATGTTTAACATAAAATAATAAAGATATTTCATATTTGTGGAGGAGAAAACCTTTTTTTCCAAATCCTACAGATAATATCAACTATCAACATAATATTTTAAGGCTTGTACATTATCCGGAATCGCTGTGACAAATGACTAATTTAAGTATATGTCTTTACTTTTTCAGATCACATCTTTTTACTTGAATTTTTTGCGTTTTTTTTTTTTTTTTTTTAGCTCTTTTAGATTTGTGTGCTGATGAATTGTTTTATAAGCGAGTATTATTTTTCCAGACATGATGAATAAATTTAATGTTCTATAATGACACAGAAAACACATGTCTGTGATATAAGGATACTTGATATATATATATTAACCTACCCCTGTAGATTCCAATTTCTTTGTTAAAACTTCCACTAATCTTTTATGTTCATCTGCTTCCTCTTCTAGTAAAGTACAGAGAGACTGCACGTCAGCACTGCCAAGAGCTGTCCATATTACAAAACGAACAATATTAGGCCCTTGCACCACTCACAAGTCTTTTCATAAATAAATCAGGTGTGTTATACGTTTTAATTGAATTATATCTATGACTTCATTCGTAATTTTCGCTTGTGTGTCTTTTGTGGAATTAGTGCATTTCTCTTTCTCATAAAAAACCACTCTTATCAGTATCCCATAATTATAGATAGGTCATTTTTCTTTATTGAATCGAAATTGTATAATCAGGTCTAAATGAATATCTGAAATATTCAAAGTATGTACATTATATAGCGCAGTTGTGATTTGACTTGATGATAATTTTAACCCCATTTATGTTATAACTACTGAAATTAGACAAAAACAGAATGTAAGGAAACCTCGCCTGATATAAAATATAATCATAATTTGTAACGATCATTGTCAACCCTTTAAAAAGTATATCTTATTTAAGTTGTTCCCCATTTGATAGATAAGTGTTTGCTTTATTTTCTGTACTTTGCAATCTGTGATATATTAAGAAATATGATAGTGTATAGCATTATGATAATATTTCCCCATGTCTGATTACAAACCATACCTTACTCAAGTAGCATTAGAAAACTGCGTTCTATCGTAAATTTACTTGCAGACAATGAAAAAAAGAGTATAAATATGTCATCTTTTGAAAAATACATTTGGTGTTATTAAATCAGATTAAGAAAGCTTCCCTATTACCAAGATTAGCAATAAATGCCAAAACAGATCAAATTAGTTTATAGTGTAAGGGAAGTAACTCGTAGAGGATACTGTGCTCAAACATGTAGTGGGGATCGGGCTCTTTAAACAGTGTAGTTGTTCCCTTTACACTATACTTGTAATCCCTTTCAATTAATTGTGCAAACACGTGTGTATCGTGCACGAACTAGTAAGAAAGTGATGTCCTGTTGAATAATAGCTATAGAGTATTAAATAAACTACACACCATTCTTCATGTGATGTTTGCATAGCTATTATAACTGTGGACGTGATCGGTTTCAACCATATGTACTTTCGTTTATCATCAAATTGATGCGCATGTCTACATCCCATCACTTCCGCTATGACAAGAGACTATCTGAGCTATATGTTTGATATTTAGATCAGTGTCAGAAGACAATTTGTCCTGTGTCAACAGATTTCCCAAAGTCATTGATTGATGCCACTCTCTTGTTAGCAAACAAAGGACGGTTCTCTTCCTCTAGATGAGTCTTGTGTATCTTTCCTAAGTGAACGACTATAACCGTAGCAACTGTTGCGTCACTGTCACTTACAGACAAAAATATATTATGCCTTATTTTCGATTTGGGAAGAATTATTATCCTTACAAATACATTAAGACACTCGTTATATACCCAATCAAGGACAAGATAAAATAAAATAGTTTTTTTTCATAACCGGCCTATATTTTTCCTTGGCGTTGTTTGTTTAATATCACTCCCTAGAGTCAAACCTGTCACAAATTAACATATAGATACAGAATTCACCTCCCTTATCCATTTCCTACCCAACTGTACCCGTCCCCTTTCAGATTTCGCTTGATAAATAGTTATCTCAGATGACATTTTTTGTAACAGATAGAAGAGGTTTAATAGAAGTCTGCGACATCACGTAGTAATACTGATTTAGTACGTCCATATTGAGGAATCACCTAAAATTTAGACCGATTTTGAGTTTGTCCTCGAATACCTTCGAAGCTTAAACAAATATAGGCTCCTAGTACATTTATAACTGACGAATTCTGGAAGGAGGAAACAGCTTTATGAAGCAGTATAATTGCTTACTTTCCCCCTTTTTTGTTGAATTTGAGTCAAGATTATGACTCTTCTGACAGGTTGGTTATTTTTTATGATTTTTTCTTTACTGTATCTCTAATTTGTATTAAAAGGTGATATTGGCATGTGGCAATAATATGCGAAACGACAGCCACCAGAAAATATTTCACTCCTGTCAATGTGTCCTTATTCCAAGACTTAATGTATGAAGTTTGGAGAAAATTATCTCATTTTTATCATTTACCATTTCCAATGCCATTTAAATCGAAAGACCTTTGAAGAAAATCATTTTTTACCTCGGGTATTAGTAGCAGACATAAAGTATTCAGGTTGGGGACGAATGATTAAAAAAACATTTAAATCTGGTTCAGTTAGCACACCATGCCTTGGCTGATTTTAACATGTTAACATGTAACACACCCAACGTTTTACGTTAAAGGGAAGATAACTCATACTACTTCGTGAAAATATATATTGTGACAAGCATTTATTTTCCACCGGCACCTCTAACGTTTCAATAATTCAGACCTCTGATTATCACCAAGAGTCCTAGAAGGACGAAACAGCTGTATGATGTAGCATCACTGACGAGTCCTAAATGGACGCAACAGCTGTATGATGTAACATCACCAACGAGTCCTAGAAGGACGAAACAGATATATGGTGTAGCATCACTAAAAGTCCTAGAAGGACGAAACAGATTTATGGTGTAGCAACACTAAAAGTCTGTATATATGATGTAGCATCAGTGACGAGTCCTAGAAGGACGAAACAGCTGTATGATGTAGCATCACTAAAAGTCCTAGAAGGACGAAACAGCCGTATGATGTAGCATCACTGACGAGTCCTAGAAGGACGAAACAGCTGTATGATGTAGCATCACTGACGAGTCCTAGAAGGACGAAACAGCTGTATGATGTAGCATCACTGACGAGTCCTAGACGGACGAGACAGTTATATGATGTAGCATCTCTGACGAGTCCTAGACGGACGTAACAGTTGTATGATGTAGCATCACTGACGAGTCCTAGAAGGACGAAACAGATATATGGTGTAGCATCACTAAAAGTCCTAGAAGGACGAAACAGATTTATGGTGTAGCAACACTAAAAGTCCTAAAAGGACGAAACATATATATGATGTAGCATCAGTGACGAGTCCTAGAAGGACGAAACAGCTGTATGATGTAGCATCACTAAAAGTCCTAGAAGGACGAAACAGCTGTGTGATGTAGCATCACTGACGAGTCCTAGAAGGTCGAAACATTTATATGATGTAGCATCACTAAGAGTCCTAGAAAGACGAAACAGCCGTATGATGTAGCATCACTGACGAGTCCTAGAAGGTCGAAACATTTATATGATGTAGCATCACTAAGAGTCCTAGAAAGACGAAACAGCCGTATATATGATGTAGCATCACTGACGAGTCAGCTAGAAGGTCCTAGAAACATTTATATGATGTAGCATCACTAACGAGTCCTAGAAGGACGAAACAGCTGTATGATGTAGCATAACTGACGAGTCCTAGAAGGACGAAACAGCTATATGATGTAGCATAACTGACGAGTCCTAGAAGGACATCACTGACGAGTCCTAGAAACAGCTGTATGATGTAGCATCACTAAAAGTCCTAGAAGGACGAAACAGCTGTATGATGTAGCATCACTAAAAGTCCTAGAAGGACGAAACAGCTGTATGATGTAGCATCACTGACGAGTCCTAGAAGGACGAAACAGCTGTATGATGTAGCATCACTAAAAGTCCTAGAAGGACGAAACAGCTGTATGATGTAGCATCACTGACGAAGGACGAAACTGTATGATGTAGCATCACTGACGAGTCCTAGAAGGACGAAACAGCTGTATGATGTAGCATCACTGACGAGTCCTAGAAGGACGAAACAGCTATATGATGTAGCATCACTGACGAGTCCTAAAAGGACGAAACAGTTGTATGATGTAACATCACTGACGAGTCCTAGAAGGACGAAACATATATATGATGTAGCATCAGTGACGAGTCCTAGAAGGACGAAACAGCTGTATGATGTAGCATCACTAAAAGTCCTAGAAGGACGAAACAGCCGTATGATGTAGCATCACTGACGAGTCCTAGAAGGACGAGACAGTTATATGATGTAGCATCTCTGACGAGTCCTAGACGGACGTAACAGTTGTATGATGTAGCATCACTGACGAGTCCTAGAAGGACGAAACAGCTGTGTAATTCAGTTGTCTTCATCATATGGATCTACTTTATCTCATTCTTAGTTTGTATTTTGTGAAATCGTTAAGGACGACAATAATCTAGTTAATGTTTTCAGGTTTAATTACATAAACATGTATATTTCTAATCTACACAGTAAAACTGACATGTAATATAAACCTAATCATTTACGAAATAAACATATAAAATACTGGTATTCCAGCTATACTACCATTTGTCAGGCCATCGTGACGCTCCATTGCACAGACTATAAGTAGTTGATCATTGGGCCTCATCAAGTTGCTCATGTACCCTGCAAATAAACAAGGTAATCAAATCCATTTCAAATAGATATCGCCATTGAAAGTACATAAGTATTAATTGTTGACTGGAAGGGCATCCTTTTTCCTTGTTTACCATTGTCTTGATGTGGTCAATCTATCATTATATTACTTATTACGGTTCTATTGTTTGGCATTAACACGTGCTCCTGTAAAAATGACTAATTCTTTTTTGATAATTACCGGCATCGTCCGTTTTAATGATGACAGTAGTATGTTGTCGATTTTTGACCTGGCCATCTTACCACGTGCAATACGCGTGTTTTTCAAACGATAATAGTCATGTAGTAAGTTATGGCATATCAGGAATAAGATACTTACATTCAAAGGCAAACTCAGAGTGGGAACTACCGTCCATGGCTAGCAATACTTTCCTTGGCTTGGACATTGTGGGAAACACTTTTGACTGGTGACCGAATCAGATCTCCACAGACGTAACTTTTCAGACCTATCTCTTCAAAATTCTCGGGAGAGTGACCTTGTCTTATCGACACTAGGTCAATGATATGATCCTGATTATACGTCAAGCGATGTTGCCTGGACGTATCTCTATAACCTAGTACCTATAACCTATAACCCCGTATCAGGTAGATGACACCGAGATAACATTTAAAAATCATCTAGTATAACATTCGTCTGTTGTGGTAGAGTTAGCACCCCATCAGTGGATATATAGAACCGTTCTGAGATTAACAAGACAAAACAAAAACTTGCTCTAATTAACAAAACAACGCTTAAACGATTATCAAAATTCTTAAGCAACAAAACGCAAACTAGTCCAAAGAACAATTTCAGGGTAACACCGACGCTGAACTAAAAAAAATATATCAGTCAATCCACGCTTTCAATATACAAAATTAATGTGAACTTTCGAAAAAAAAACCAAAACAAAACAAAAAACACCGTAGCAACTTTTTGTCAACCTTCGAGGTAACGAAGGTATCATGTACGAAAATTTGTAGGGCAGATATTTCAATAAAGTTGATTGTTTTAAACCAGACTTATATTGTATGTAATAGGTACTTGAGCTATAATTGATATAATTCGAGGTAAATTTACATACTAACTGTCGTTAACGTACCATGAAGATATGGCTATGTATCATAGACTTCAATATACTTGTAGAGTTTACCGTCAGAGTAATTTATATACTGTTCCAAAAGCAGACATACATTATGTTTATATCTCAAGTGTACGATATACAATATATTTCAGTGTATTGTAATAATTGAAATTTCATGAGTGGAAGCTGAATCAATTAATTCAGATTATAATATTTGTAGTGTCATAAGATATATGAGTGTGTAGACTTATATAGAAAACAATAGTGCTGAATATCTCATTGTATATACTCATACAATTAAAGTGAGTCAGTGTAAAGTGGGGTTAGAAGTAAAGTCTGTATAGTTAATGATCTGATGGTATAATCATCCTGATGTCTATAGACAGTATTGATCATTAATAAGACAACCATGCTACACCTATTCACATTGTATTCTTTGTTAAAATCTTGAAAACAATGTGACTTTCTCAACTCATAAATCCGCATAGCGAGAAAACATGCATTGTTATCATTTTTAAAGGAACGCTACATTGCCCTTAACTCTGTGATCAAGATAAAACGTTTCCCAGACCGACTAATCAGCTGTATGATGCATTTTTATTCATTATATGCTTTTAATGTATCTAACTCTAAAGGTGTATTTGAAAGTGCTATTTAATTGGTTTTTTTTTTAAATAATCTTTGAGATAGCTGGTTGTATACTGTATACACTCACAGCTGGTTGGCCGTAACCTGCATGCTTCGTACGCTTCAAAATATACACATATACTCATTGTTATTCTTAAGTAATCAAATTATAAAAATTACGAGATTTATTGAATTATGGGGTGAATGCACCTCCCCACCTGCATTTTGCCTTTCCTTGCGATCAATTTGAATTTTCCTCGGTCGCCTGGGTTTTAAATTTAGACCCTGAGCATTACTGACGAGTCCTACAAAAGGACGAAACAGCTGCATGATGCAGTTTAATTCATTTTTGGCTCTACTGTAACTAACCATAAATTTGTATTAAAATGTGCTAATTTAAATAGCCTTATGAATGGGCATAGAGTATAATTACACTTGTTTCTAATCTCGGTTTCCTGTCTTGGTAATATGAATACAGTGGACACTAAATCCACAGTCGTTTTTAAAACCTTTGTGTAAGTATTATCATAACAGCAAACAAAATGTAAATAAGTCCACGATTGATTCAGGACATACAAATGATAATGTTGTTCTCTACAGACACTAAAACACACCTGTAACACGATGTTATCTACAGATAGTAAAACACACCTGTAACACGATGTTCTCTACAGATACTAAAACAACCTTGTAACAGGATGTACAGATACTAAAACAAACCTGTAACATGATGTTCTCTACAGATACTAAAACACACCTGTAACATGATGTTCTCTACAGATACTAAAACACACCTGTAACATGATGTTCTCTACAGATACTAAAACACACCTGTAACACGATGTTATCTACAGATACTAAAACACACCTGTAACACGATGTTCTCTACAGATACTAAAACAACCCTGTAACATGATGTTATCTACAGATACTAAAACAACCCTGTAACATGATGTTATCTACAGATACTAAAACACACCTGTAACACGATGTTATCTACAGATACTAAAACACACCTGTAACACGATGTTCTCTACAGATACTAAAACACACCTGTAACATGATGTTCTCTACAGATACTAAAACACACCTGTAACACGATGTTCTCTACAGATACTAAAACACACCTGTAACATGATGTTATCTACAGATACTAAAACACACCTGTAACATGATGTTCTCTACAGATACTTAAACAACCCTGTAACATGATGTTATCTACAGATACTAAAACAACCTTGTAACACGATGTTCTCTACAGATACTAAAACACACCTGTAACACGATGTTCTCTACAGATACTAAAACAACCCTGTAACATGATGTACAGATACTAAAACAACCCTGTAACATGATGTTATCTACAGATACTAAAACACACCTGTAACACGATGTTCTCTACAGATACTAAAACAACCCTGTAACATGATGTTCTCTACAGATACTAAAACACACCTGTAACACGATGTTCTCTACAGATACTAAAACAACCCTGTAACATGATGTTATCTACAGATACTAAAACAACCCTGTAACATGATGTTCTCTACAGATACTAAAACACACCTGTAACAGGATGTTATCTACAGATACTAAAACAACCCTGTAACATGATGTTATCTACAGATACTAAAACAACCCTGTAACACGATGTTATCTACAGATACTAAAACAACCCTGTAACATGATGTACAGATACTAAAACAACCCTGTAACATGATGTTCTCTACAGATACTAAAATAACCCTGTAACATGATGTTCTCTACAGATACTAAAACACACCTGTAACATGATGTTATCTACAGATACTAAAACAACCCTGTAACATGATGTTCTCTACAGATATTAAAACAACCCTGTAACACGATGTTCTCTACAAATACTAAAACAACCCTGTAACATGATGTTATCTACAGATACTAAAACAACCCTGTAACACGATGTTCTCTACAGATACTAAAACAACCCTGTAACATGATGTACAGATACTAAAACAACCCTGTAACATGATGTTCTCTACAGATACTAAAACAACCCTTTAACACGATGTTCTCTACAGATACTAAAACACACCTGTAACATGATGTTATCTACAGATACTAAAACACACCTGTAACATGATGTTCTCTACAGATACTAAAACAACCCTGTAACATGATGTACAGATACTAAAACACACCTGTAACATGATGTTATCTACAGATACTAAAACACACCTGTAACATGATGTTCTCTACAGATACTAAAACAACCCTGTAACATGATGTACAGATACTAAAACACACCTGTAACATGATGTTATCTACAGATACTAAAACACACCTGTAACATGATGTTCTCTACAGATACTTAAACAACCCTGTAACATGATGTTATCTACAGATACTAAAACAACCCTGTAACACGATGTTCTCTACAGATACTAAAACACACCTGTAACATGATGTTCTCTACAGATACTAAAACAACCCTGTAACATGATGTACAGATACTAAAACACACCTGTAACATGATGTTATCTACAGATACTAAAACACACCTGTAACATGATGTTCTCTACAGATACTAAAACAACCCTGTAACATGATGTACAGATACTAAAACACACCTGTAACATGATGTTATCTACAGATACTAAAACACACCTGTAACACGATGTTCTCTACAGATACTAAAACAACCCTGTAACATGATGTTCTCTACAGATACTAAAACACACCTGTAACACGATGTTATCTACAGATACTAAAACACACCTGTAACACGATGTTCTCTACAGATACTAAAACACACCTGTAACATGATGTTATCTACAGATACTAAAACACACCTGTAACATGATGTTATCTACAGATACTAAAACAAACATGTAACATGATGTTATCTACAGATACTAAAACACACCTGTAACATGATGTTCTCTACAGATACTAAAACAACCCTGTAACATGATGTACAGATACTAAAACACACCTGTAACATGATGTTATCTACAGATACTAAAACACACCTGTAACATGATGTTCTCTACAGATACTAAAACAACCCTGTAACATGATGTACAGATACTAAAACACACCTGTAACATGATGTTATCTACAGATACTAAAACACACCTGTAACACGATGTTCTCTACAGATACTAAAACAACCCTGTAACATGATGTTCTCTACAGATACTAAAACAACCCTGTAACATGATGTACAGATACTAAAACACACCTGTAACATGATGGTATCTACAGATACTAAAACACACCTGTAACATGATGTTATCTACAGATACTAAAACAACCCTGTAACACGATGTTATCTACAGATACTAAAACAACCCTGTAACATGATGTTATCTACAGATACTAAAACACACCTGTAACATGATGTACAGATACTAAAACAACCCTGTAACACGATGTTCTTTTTCCTGTAACATGATGTTCTCTACAGATACTTAAACAACCCTGTAACATGATGTTATCTACAGATACTTAAACAGACCTGTAACAGGATACAATATATAACAAACACTATTATTCTGTTGTAACATTTAATCAATAAGTCTGATTAACAAAGAAAGTGTGGTGATCACTGCTTCAGTCGACGCCATGAATTCTTATATACTGTGGTGTATAATACCATAACAACACAGATACCAGGCGATAAGGTTACATGTCAGACCCTAATGTGATATTGTTTAATACTAGAAAAGTATTCTACAATAACACAAATAGATAAGAAGCAATGCTTAGTATCAAATAAACAGATACATTGGGCCCTCTTGATATCATCAAAATACAGTTCAAGGCAAACAAAGCCTTTACTTAGCAAATTATATAAACAGTTGACAAAATGGATTGTTACACATAAAATTAATCGCGTCTTACTCATTCAGATACATTTACACCATTCTAATCCTAGTTGATATACAGATAAAACCATTCTATTTACACTGGTAAAAGACATTAGCATATTGTGTAGAATGAAACTGTACGGATTTTCAGTACTTCCGTGCATGTAGATAGTCCTCCATCGGTGACAACCATTCAGCTCGGCTGTAAATCTTCCTTAATACAACAGATCGTTACATTATTACAATGAGCGCATTTAGCTGACAAAGTGATATTATTACATATTCTTTCAGCACTCATCAATTTTTCTTAATGGTTTTGTAAACCTCTGATCACAATTGCTAAAGCGTGCCAACAATTTTGATTGAATTAAAATTATTTTTTTCGACATTTTCTATGGCTAGTTAATAAACTGATTAATATAGGTACTTTGGGATTTAAGGACTTCACAACAATTAAGCATATCACGTCAATGCTTCAGAATACGATGAACACGAAAGTGATAGCAAAATCTAAATTTCATCTAAAGCGTTTCCTTATAAAGAATATGTAATGAATATTTGATTAGGAATGTGAAAAATTATTGATTAATTTTGGCAATATGCATGATACTTTCAATATGTTGGAAAGACATTAATTCCCATGCAATATTAAAAAAAATGCTTTGCTTATAAAAAATTAACGTTTCTTTCTTTTCCTTTGGTATAACAATTACAAGCAGAGGTACATTTTAATGGTTGTGGTGTCCATGGTGATGGTGATGATGGTCTTTGTGTCGAGCTACCAGAACGGGAACATGCGCGTGATGGATGACGTAATCACTGACGCTGCCAATGAAGGTCCGCCTGATGGTTCCTAAACCTCTCGTTCCGGTAACAATGAGCGACACTTCCTCATCTTTGGCAACCTTACAAATAACTTCCCCTGGTTGTCCGCCAACGCTTTTAACTTTACCGCCAATCTGTTAAAACATTATTCATAAAAACAACATCATACCGCATTATTCAGACTTGTATTGTGTCGTTGCAATACCACTTATGGAAATACGTTTGAAACTATGTCATTATTTGTGTCAGTCATAAGAAGAATGAATTAGATTCGAATGTTTATAAACTGAGAATATTTGAAATTCAAAGTTAATCATATGCTATGACATGTATATGTACAGTTTACGTGCACTATATTTATTGAAACTAGCAGGGATTAAAACCAGTTTCATAATGATCACTTGACAAACTCTGTTAATCCCAGAGGCATATCTCATAAGTATATCTCACGGGAATGTACACAACATTACTTCGGTGTCACTTCTGTTGGCAGGAGGGATGGACATAAAGACAGAAACTGATGCCAATTTAACTTCGTTAAGGAGATTTAAGTGATACGTACACCTCGGGACTTCAGCTTGCTTCCCAAGGTTTCCAGCAATTGCTTAACTCTCTTCTCCTCATCTTTCCACATATCAGTCAACACAGAAACATCCGCCATAACCATAGCTGTCAACAAATATACAACTTTGATAATCGGTCTTAACGTGTCTGAAATTTAATGCCAATATTTCGACGAGTAGACGCAATGGTTAATGGATTAAGCATCAACGCAAAATTAATTTTGAATTTCGTTATCGGAGCGGGCAACACACAGGCAAATGTGCATTCGGTGATTATGTATATAGTGTGTAGTTACGAGAATGAACTTGGTAATTTACCATACACACTAGTAATCAGTCGCTATCATTTAAATTGCTCAAATTCTGAGGAATATTGAAACTTGTAAAGATTATTTATTATTTAAAGATAAAATTATAAAACTGTAGCCATTTTCAGCATCCTTTTATATAACAGTAATATCTTTGCCACGCCGAAGATGCTAGGTTATCACGGAGCTTGTCTAAAGCATTATAACTGGTAAACGAGTTATTTGCCAAATTATCTAGTTTAAGAAAAAAAACAAACAAACAAACGCGTCTTTACAGAATCTAAAACAATTACGATCATCTTCCAACAATGAAAATAAAATCGTTTTCACAGCAGAATACACTTAATCTCGTTCTTCAATGTAAATTACTGTGAAGTTTTACAGTTATCAATATGATCTCATTGAGAGATATTCTATATCTTTGTGCGTGATGAAGCTGGACGTGTTTAATGCTCGTTAGTTTGCCTGTTGGTTCCGTTGTTGTATTCCTAGTTCTCATTTGAGGACGTGACACTACTTAGTTGGATCGGCCAAGATTTTCCTAGCAGGTGTCAACGACGAAGCAGAAGCCGCTCGCTGTACCAGAACAGTGGTCTTATTATCCTTGTACTTTTTCATGAGTTTCCGTGTATATCTTTCCTCCGTTCATATCTGCCCCAGTTTGATTGAATTTGAGTTTAAGTTAATATATTTTAACGTACTTTTAAATCGTGGCTATACTATATTTGTTCATGAATTTCAATGTGTAGCATTTCATTCAAGATAGATATTTATAAGCCTAAGTATTAACATTATCATTGTGTTTCAGTAAATCTTACTGTTATTGTTCAAATTTTGCAATTTGTGTATATAATGCAGCTATCACAGCCATAACTTTATAATGCGCTGCTGTCTTCTATAATTAAAAAGTAATTTGGAGACAAATCTATCAGAATTCAAAATAAGAAACAGTATTGTGCCTAATGATAAGGCTGTACTTTGAGCATACAGTCAGTTCATCCCTGCACCGTTAACGACTGTTTTATAAATAAGATACTATCATGTAAGAATTTATTATCCTCAGATTTCCATTTATTGATAAGGTTTACAGGTGCTCATGTATTAGTTATGTAGTGTGTGTTTGATTTCCCAGCTTGCTTGTTTATTACAATATATTCATAGCCACGTGTTTCTGTGAACAAGGGTCACTTTAGGGAACTATGATTTTCTTGTAAGCTTCATAATTCACATCTTAAATACATAAAATATTTCAGTGTTATAAGCGAGAAGTTCTGTGGTACTTTTGTTTGTCAAATAGGAATGTGGTAAACCAAACATTTCAGCTTTAGCAGTAAGAGTTTACAACCAATTACAATATTTGAAACAAAATTCTTTCACAAATTACACGCATCAAGCTAACCAGGTGACACAATAAGATATCTGATATACGTACGTGACGCTACAACATTATGGTATTCGGGTGTGTGTAGCAATATAACCTTGTCATTCGTCTTATGGATGTTGTCCATGTACCCTTAAAAACAAGAAACATGACGTGTTTTATAATAATTATATGCTTAAACACGCGTACATCACTTGTTTTTCTCACCAGATATCGACTGAGTGTGTAGGAAAACTACATTGATTTTATGTAAATCTTTTGCATAATGAGCTATGGTGAAAATTATAATAAATTGATATGAAATACTGAAATAATCACTTAAAAGCTCCTTCGAATAGTTGATACAAGGCAGGAAAACATTTCATAAGTTGAATATAACAGCGAAAGGTCACGCGGAGTTCATTTACTAGATCTCCGCTCGGCTTGTAGGTCATTGTCACAGTATTAAAGCATACACAAAACCAACAGTTCGACAATGTACAGTTAACATTACTTGCGTTTGCTGTAATTTGTGCTAATAGTGTTGTAACAAACATTGTCCCAGTAAACAGAAGCGAAAATTATCATATTACAACCATAAACACATGTGACACATGAAGATGTTATCCTTGACCACTTTCATGTACCATTTGTAGAGTCTATCTTATCTATGTTAATACTACGGGCACCTGTTTATGGAACGTAAACAACTCGACAAAACATCCAGTCCACTAGGCATCATGCAAAAAGCTTGTATTATGAATAACGGACTAGATTTTTGCCTGAGTTAAAACTCTGTATGATGCTTAGTGGACTGGACTTGTTTACGATCCAGATACCGGTGTTTGGTTTATACTGTATTAAATACATTGCACATCAGCTATGTTTAAAGTTTACCCTATATCTACATCGTGTTACATTAAATACTTACAATCAAATGCATAGTCCGAGTATTCACTGCCATCCTGGGCAATCAGAACAGTCCTCTCTTCTTCTGTAGCAGCCATTTTTGTGTACAGCGTGTAGCAGATATCAGCTGATGATTATGTCGGCTATATATATGGGTTACACCCCTAGCTGAATAATATTAGAGTCGGGACGGACTAAATTCCGGATTTGAGTCACGTTGTATTATTCTGATTTTATTCAAGTTCACAATCTTGACAGCCAAGTTGGATATATTAAATATAAGATATTGAAGATCCGTCTTCTCTCTCTCTCCCTCCCTCCCTCCCTCTCCCTCTCTCTCTCTCTCTCTCTCTCTCTCTCTCTCTCTCTCTCTCTCTCTCTCTCTCTCTCTCTCTCTCTCTCTCCGGTTATTTATGTATTATTTTATCTTGTAATATTTTTTCTTAATTTTTTATAATATAGGAAGCCAACTAATGATTACCTTGATCGTGACTGTTGCATTTCCGATGATTTTTTATTTTTTGTTATTTACTAGAGTAATGATAACGGTTAAAGTCCTGACGGAGGCACTGAAATAACACGATGGCCTCCGTAATATTTGTAGTTAAAAAAAAAAAAAATAGGACACACACAATGAAAATGAAGAATATGCTGATGGTGTAAGGCTTGGATGAATGACAATATTAGGTGTGTATGATGATGATGGATTATGAATGATGATAGTGATGAGGTGTAAAGTATGTATGTATGATGATGGTGGTGTTGAGTGGAAATGATGATGATGATGATGATGATGATGATGATGATGATGATGATGATGATGATGATGATGGATGATCACACGATGATCGTAATGATGATGACGATGATGGATGATAAGGAATGATCACATGTTGATGATGATGATGATGATGATGATGATGATGATGATGATGGATGATGATGATGATGATGATGATGATGATGATGATGATGATGATGATGATGATAATGAATTGATGATGATGATGATGATGATGATGATGATGATGGATGATCACATGATGATGATGATGATGATGATGATGATGGACGATCACATGATAATGATGATGATGATGATGATGATGATAATGATGATGATGATGATGATGATGATGATGATGATGATGATGATGGATGATCACATGATGATGATGATGATGATGATGATGATGATGATGATGATGAACGATCACATGATGATGATGATGATGATGATGATGATGATCGTAATGATGATGATGATGATGATGATGATGGATGATCACATGATGATGATGATGATGGATGATCACATCATGATGATGATGATGATGATGATGATGATGATGATGATGATGATGATGATGATGATTATATGAGCTTAAGTGTGATCGAGAGTGATGAGAATGCTGATGATGACGTGTGTTTTTCTCAAATAGGTGATGATGAGTGATAATCAAATCCATCTGATATATTGTTATGTTTGTTCTTTGATTGTGTTGTGCTCTTGAAAAATAAAACAATTACAAAAAAAAATTTCAAAAAAAAAAAAAAAAAATATTTGTAGTTAGCTGTTCATTAAACCAAGAAACAATGTCTGGAATATACGCCCTGTAGTTGAAAGGTATCAAGATATACGTGTTTGTCCAATTATATTAACAATACATCTAAAACGTAAGATATAGGATGTAACTATGTAAAATTAAACTTTTAACATAACGTAAGGATGTAAACCTGTAAAGTAAAACTTTTAACATGACGTAATGATGTAACCACGTAAAGTAAAACTTTTAACATAACGTAAGGATGTAACCATCTAAAGTAAAACTTTTAACATGACGTAATGATGTAACCACGTAAAGTAAAACTTTTAACATAACTTAAGGATGTAACCACGTAAAGTAAAACTTTTAACATGACGTAAGGATGTAAACCTGTAAAGTAAAACTTTTAACATGACGTAATGATGTAACCACGTAAAGTAAAACTTTTAACATAATGTAAGGATGTAAACCTGTAAAGTTAAACTTTTAACATGACGTAAGGATGTAACCATGTATAGTTAAACTTTTAACATAACGTAAGGATGTAACCATGTAAAGTTAGACTTTTAACATAACGTAAGGATGTAACCATGTAAAGTTAAACTTTTAACATAACGTAAGGATGTAACCATGTAAAGTTAAACTTTTAACATAACGTAAGGATGTAACCACGTAAAGTTAAACGTTTCGATCTACGCATGGGGATAAAACGTGGTGAAGAAAACGGGAAAGGTTTTGACATAACAAAAAGATGTAACCTAATAACATAAAGAAATTCCAAAATTTACTCTGATTTAAAAACACGGCAGATGTCACCATTTCTCCTCGTCCATATATTGCCTGTTTTTATTAGATGATCGTTGAGTTACATGTTATAATTCAAAACTGGTTATACTTTTTAATTTATGTGATAGGAAGGTGTTATATGAATACCCATTTTATAATCGTTACATTGTCATGTGACATTCTTATACTGAACATTTCTTGATAAAAATGTTAATTTTCTTTCTATTTTTAAGCAAAAAAATAAGTATATTGTAGTAACCAAAATAAGGGGAAATAACTCTTTGAAATATGCTATTGCACAACTCGAGTGCTAGAAGACTTCGGTCCGAACGTCAGGGGTAACCACTGCGCCAACTCGATACTCACTCTTTTTACATTATTTGTAATTTTCCTTCACTAAAATCCTCTAATACCTACTTTATAAACAGGAAATGTACAGTGTTCTATTACTTTCTTTTTAATTATTTATCTGTCTATTTATTTATAAACGAAATACGCTTATCAACACTTTTATTTAAATCCATGTCATTTACATTCAACTCGTTTGAGAGAAACACTAACAACCAATATATTTAAGAACTGACACCAAACATTACCGTGTAATTTAAGTGGTGGTTTAAAACGTCAAAAGAAGACAGGAAATGAAGATAATATAAACGGTCTTGTTATCAGGTCCGTGATGACTGAGCTGAGGACGTGAAATGTCGCTGATTCTCTTCTTCAAAGTATTTTGAATATCATCGGGATTATTCTAGGTCAAAGAAAACTCTAATTACCAAAATGTATAAAGCCCACGATACAGTAGTTACTTCTCATGAGGAAGATTTTTTTTTCTGGTTCTGTTTGTTTGTTGTGGGTTTTTTTTCAAGAAATCATGATGGTTGGGATATCTTCATAATTTTATGATATTTTAAAACATTCTTGATGAATACATTTTAACGGCGTTTTCGTTATTCAGGCTTTTGGAGAAATTTGGTCATTTTTGTTTTCATTCATAAGGAGGGGAAATAACTCTCAGAGTAAACAGGATATTGCACAACATCTGTATTATAGATTTATAAACATAGATTGGCGTTATAGCGTTTGGGTGAGCCGTAGCGTGGTGGTACAATCGACTTTCAATTGAGACTAAAGCACTTGATCTATACCACTGGCGGGAAGACTTAGGTCCGAACGTCAGCGGTAACCACTGCGCCAACTCGATACTCACTCTTTTTACATTATTTGTAATTTTCTTTCACTAAAATCCTCTAAAACCTACTTTATAAGCAGGAAATGTACAGTGTTTTATTACTTTCTTTTTTGTTATTTATCTAGGTAAAAGAAACCTCTAATTTTCAAAATGTATAAAGCCCACGATACAGTAGTTACTTGTTATGAGGAAGATTTTTTTCTGGTTTTGTTTTGTGCGTTTGTTGTGGGTTTTTCAAGAAATCATGATGGTTAGGATATTTTCATAATTTTATCGCGGTTAAAACATTCTTTGATGAATACATTTTAACGGCGTTTTCGTTATTTAGACTTTTGGAGAAATTTGGTCATTTTTGTTTTCATTCATAAGAAGGGGAAATAACTCTCAGAGTAAACAGGATATTGCACAACATCTGTATTATAAATTTATAAACATCGATTGGCATTATAGCGGTCGGGTGAGCCGTAGCGTGGTGGTATAATCAACTTTCAATTGAGACTAAAGCACTTGATCTATACCACTGACGGGAAGACTTCGGTCCGAATGTCAGCGGTAACCACTGCGCCAACTCGATACTCACTCTTTTTACATTATTTGTAATTTTTCTTTCACTAAAATTCTCTTAACCCCACTTTATAAACAGGAAATGTACAGTGTTTTATTACTTTCTTTTTAATAAAAACGAAATACGCTTATCAACACTTTTATAAAATCCATGTCATTTACATTCAACTCGTTTGAGAGAAACACTAACAACCAAGATCATTTAAGAACTGACACCAAACATTACCGTGTAATTTAAGTGGTGGTTTAAAACGTCAAAAGAAGACAGGAAATGAAGATAATATAAACGGTCTTGTTATCAGGTCCGTGATGACTGAGCTGAGGACGTGAAATGTCGAAGATTCTCTTCCTCAAACTGTTTTGAATATCATCGGGGTTATTCTAGGTAAAAAAAAAAAAGAATTTTTCAAAATGTATAAAGCCAACGATACAGTAGTTACTTGTCATGAGGAAGATTTTTTCTGGTTTTGTTTTGTTCGTTTGTTGTGGGTTTTTTCAAGAAATCATGATGGTTGGGATATCTTCATAATTTTATGATATTTCAAAACATTCTTGATGAATACATTTTAACGGCGTTTTCGTTATTCAGGCTTTTGGAGAAATTTGATCGTTTTTGTTTTCATTCATAAGAAGGGGAAATAACTCTCAGAGTAAACAGGATATTGCACAACATCTGTATTATAGATTTATAAACATAGATTGGCGTTATAGCGGTCGGGTGAGCCGAAGCGTGGTGGTACAATCTTTCAATTGAGACTAAAGCACTTGATCTATACCACTGACGGAAGACTTCGGTCCGAACGTCAGCGGTAACCACTGCGCCAACTCGATACTCACTCTTTTTACATTATTTGTAATTTTCCTTCACTAAAATCCTCTAAAACCCACTTTATAAGTAGGAAATGTACAGTGTTTTATTACTTTCTTGTTATTTATTTATCTAGGTAAAAGAAACCTCTAATTACCAAAATGTATAAAGCCAACGATATAGTAGTTACTTCTCATGAGGAAGATTTTTTCTGGCTTTGTTTGTTTGTTGT